CCCCAAAACCCCAAAACCCCAAAACCCCAAAACCCCTGAAAAAATTGTAAAAATTGAATAAAATATATTTCCAGCAATATGAAAGCAGTCAATAGCAATGAGAGCTTAAATGGTAAGCCCCAGACACTCTCTCCCTCAACCTTCTTCACTTTCCAGTCTGCATTTCTGCTCTGAATCATCTAAACTACTTATAGGTCAGAAGACCAATGAAAATGCTTATAAAGATACAGAGAATGACTCTTATGAAGACGATTTCGAGGAAATTAATAAAAATTAATAACCAGAACAAAAATTCAAGGAATTTTAGACATTCCCAAATACTCAGAACTTACGACGATAGCAAGAGGAAACAAGTACTGAGATCTTTGGCAGGCCAAAGATCTCAGGATGTTCTTACTCAGGTACCTGGAAAGACTATTTTGGATTCAATAAAAGCTAAAGGAAATAGGAGATTTAAAGGATTGAGGAATGTTAAGTCAAGGTCATCGATTCAGAGCCTAAAGAGAGACTCTCGGTATAAAATTCCATCTTCTTCTGCTACCGTAGTGGTATGTCCCCAGTCAAAAATCGGTAATTGCTTCCTTAATATTTAGCCAAAATGAACAAATATTTAAAGAAATGAGAGATTTTACGGCACAAAATGAAAAAATCATCTGATGATAACCAAAAGTCAAAACTACTTGTTCAAGAGAATAAAATCATGAGGAGAGGGCTGAAGGAGATGAATGGTTTCCTATCAGACCTCATAGACCACTTAAAGGAGAAATAAACTTGCTAGCCTCAACTCATTAGACTACAAATACGGAAATAACGGAAAATTAAAGAAGACTAGAGAGGAGAAAATCAGGAAGCTGACTGCTGAATCACAGAACTATCAGAATATGATAGCCAATCTCTCTGAAGAGCATCGCAAATATAAAGAGAGGATCTTTCAGATTAGTGATCCAAGCTTCATCCTCACTCTTCAGAAAGAGGTAGCTGAGTCTTCTGAGCAAATTGATAAATTGAATAAGTAAGGCTTGTTGATGATTTTTAGGCATTTGAGATTTTTAAAAGATGATCAGTTTAAGAGGGAAAAGAAAATGGGAGAGGTCATATCTCATGGAGTCACAGATGCTATGGGAACTATCCAGGACAATGTCAAGCAAATGACTGTTCTTTCAGTGAAGAAGAAGAAGTATGATGCTCAGATTCAGTTCCAAGCTGAAAACGAGAGTCAGATAGATCAACATACTGAGGATATGAAATAAGAAAGTCAGTGATTTGGAAGCTAAGGTCAGAAGTCTTGGTCTGGATCCTGATGCTGAAGAAACAGATACTTTTTCAGAACATCTGAAAGATCCCTTATTTATCAAGATTAAGAAACAGAAGTTAGCGAGGTATTCCAGAAAAGTTATGAGTAAAAAGTTCTTTTCAAAATTCCATGCTCAAAAAGAGAAACTTGAAGACATACTGTCACAATATGATGACTCTTTTGAGAAAGATAGCAAGTTTACTATCTCTGGTACTGATTTTGGAGATGAAAAGTATCTGTTGTTAAGTAAATTAAGCAAGGTGTGAGGAGAATTAAAGCATAGTTTACCCACTATTACCTCAAAACTTCCCTGGACTACTTCCATCAGTTTCAAGCCAAGGTCCTCTAGCGGAAGTATGGGATATCCTTATGGCCAACAGACAGTTAAGAGGTTTAGGAAGATAAATTCAAGGTCTGTTAATGACATTCATGAAAATGCTTCTTCATCCGAAATCCGTAAACTACAAGGTAATACTTATCCTCACACCTAGGATCCCATAGCAGCTTATTTAGCAAGAGCACATCAAAGCCCAAAGTCCTTCTTGACACCTACAAAACACCATATATGCATAACGCAGGATAAGCTGCTATATTCTTCAATCAATTACACCACCCATACCCGGGGTTTTGGGGTTTTGGGGTTTTGGGGTTTTGGGG